GGGGGGGGTGGGGGGGGGGGGGGGTTTGCCTGCGTTTCCCCTCCAAAGATAAAATTCCAAGACTGCGGTTAAAGGGGTTTTTGCATGCGTTTCCCCTCCAAAAGATGTAAAAGCCCAAGACTGTGGTTAAAGGGGTTTTTGCCTGCGTTTTCCCCCGAAGTCGTGATATGAAGAAGAGTCTAAGTTGTAGTTGTAAGACCGTCGAGAGACTTGAGATCTGAGCTGTGAGAAGTAAGATTAAGTAAGAACCTGAATTGCAAGACGGCCGTAAGCTGAGCCAGTGTTGTAAGAACTGAGATAGGATTGAGTAAGAGCTGTGAGACCGTGAGAACGAAAGCTGAGGTTGAGAGAGGCGCGACGCGTAATGATTAACGTTCTGGAGAGAAGAGAGGCACAGTAAATGCGGTATTGTGATGTTGTGCTGACCTGGGAGTTTCTTAACTCAGAGAGGAAACTGATCAGAGTTTCCTGTGGTGGTGTGAGTGTGTGGAAGTGCTGCGGAAGACAAAGTGCGTGTGATACTTCTGTTGAAGGTTGTATGTCTCATTGTAGTTCTATTGAGAAAATAATTAAAATATCACGCATATGCTTACTTGATTCGTGATCCTCAGGGCTCGGCATGAGCTAGTTGTCTGATAGGCGTGAAGAGACAATGTGCTTTGTGCGGCGAAGGACGGGCGAACGGTGTTTTTGAGCTTGCTTCGGGTATGGACGAGCGGCATGGACCATGTGTATATTTTTGTGCTTTCTGATGGTTTGTGGTGTTTCGCATAAGCGTCGGTATGCGGGGAGGGTGGTGGTACTGCACTGGTAGAGAAGTCTTGACGGTGAGAGTGAAGACGAGAGAGCGCGATGGGAGAGAAAGAGAGGCTGGGAGAGGTTTGACGCGTGTAAGTAAATACCACTTGAATTCTTTCTTCAATGGCGGAACAGCAGCCGAATGGCTCTCCGAGTAATAGCAATAGCCATGGCACACCAAAGCCAACGACGAATTTAAAGAAAAGCGGCACAAATAATAACTCGATTGTGTCGCGCTATCGTACGACTCTAACAAGTCTGTCTGCACGCACGGGTACGGCGCTTCCAGCGCTGATAACGAGTTTTGCGGTGTTACATGAGGTGACGGCGATTGTTCCGCTCGTGGGGGTGTTTTATGCGTGTAGGACGTTTGGAGTGGGCGAGGGTGTTGTGAGGCATGCGCGGGAGGTGACTGTGAGGAATGCGAAGAATGCGCAAGGGGAAGAAGGAGTAGGGTGGGTCACGAGGACGAGTGAGAGATGGATGAAGGAGGGCGAGGCGTGGACGGAGAGAGTGGGCAGACGGTATGGCATTTGGGGATTTGAGAAGGGCAGTAAGCCTAGGCCTAGGGTCCATGAAAGCGATTCGACGACGACTGGAAATGTGATTGCTGGAGATGTTGCGAATGCACTTGTTGCATACTGTGCTACAAAGGTCAGTCAATCTGATCTCAATCATAATTAATCATTATATTTATTAATAATACAGGCGCTTCTACCAGCACGCATAGGCCTCTCGCTGTACTTTGCTCCTGCATTTGCACGGAGCGTTGTCAGTCCACTGGGTCGGGGGATTGCTGGGGTAATCCGGGGCAGTAGATCTGGTAAATAGTTGTAATAATGGATGAATAAAAGTGGCAATGGCTAGGGGCGGACGGAGAGGCTGTGATGCGCTCGCATCGACGCTTCGGGCCAGATGCTCGCCTCTTTCTCCGCCATCCATCTCCCGCTTTCTTTCTTCCTTCCCCTCCTCGTTTGTCTACGCGAGTAAAAAGTAACAAAAGCATAGCAGCTGCCTATGCACGCGTCGACGAGGACAGCCAGGTAGTAGCAAGCGATGAAGAAGCTCTTCAAGACTCACAAGACGGCAGACGATGAGAGAGACAGAGACAGAGACAGAGACAGGGACCCTCCTACAAGGGAACGCGCCATCTCGCCTTTTACAGTCGTCCCCGCCCCGCCGTCGCCAGATGCTGCCGGGCAGTTCCACCCCCAGCAACAGCCGCAGCAGCAGATCTACCAGCAGCAACAGGCTGTGCCCAGAGAACAACAACGCAATGGTGGCCTGTCTGATAGAGATCGCGCACGCGAGAAGATGTATCGCAATTCCGTCGCTGCCTACCCCTCCGCTGACGACATTTCGAGTTGGGAGCTCATCCAGATGCATGGCCAGTTTGCGCAGTCGCATCCCTATAGACAGCAGAAGCAGCAGCAGCACGGACACGGGCTGGGCGGCGCGACGGATAGAGAACGCTCAGCGTCGCTTGCGAGTCTCTCCGGTCTCACCGGGAATAACATGAACAACAAGAACAGTAATATCGATAACAGTAACAGTAATACCAGTAGTCCAGGCATACTGCCCAACCCGCATTCTCCGCATCAGCCTCAGTACACTCAGCAGCAGCAGCAGCAGCAGCAGCAGCAGCAGCAGCAGCAGCAGCAGCAGCAGCAGCAGCAGGTGCAACAGCAACAAGAACGGATACCGTATACGTTACCCCAGGCACAACCCACATCGCGTACTTCGTCACTCAACTCCCTCCCGCCGGGCGCGTCTCAGCCCGTTCCTGGTGGTGCAGGAGGAACAGGGTCGGTTAGTGTAGCCGTCGTACCGCCTAGCTCGGCGGGCTCGTATGTGTCCTCGCCGACCTCACCGGGTTCAACGGCACCGTTGAGTGGAGGTGTGCTGAGGAAGAAGAATCCTCTTCAGCAGCAGTATGTTGCACCGCAGCCGCAGCAGCCAACTACGGCGGCGATTTTACGAGCTTTGGACCCGAGTATGCTTGCGGGTGTGGGTGGAGTGCAGCAGCCTCCACCAAGTTCTGCCGGACATGCTCAGCCCCTTCCTCCTCCTACGAGTGCTTCTTCACAGCAATCTCAACAACAGCATAAAACTCCTCTTGTATCTGTACCCTCTTTCCGAGCACGGGGAGGAGGAGGAGATCGTGAACGACAGATCCCTCATCCAGCCGATCACTCACAGCAACAACAACACCAACATCCTCATCTCCGCGTACCCGTCTTCCCCACACGAAAAGACAAATCAAAAAAGCCATCAGGTCAGGCAGTCGCACCTACCGGCCCGCTATCCAATGCGAACGTGAACACGAATACTGGGCTAAATACTACTGGCATGGGCAGGGACCGCAGTCGATCACTCTCGCTCTCAGACATCGAGTTCAATATTAGTGCTATTAGAACAAGTAACAGCGATACAGAAAATGGGTTTTTGGGTGACTCTGATCCGGAGGGTGACTCCGTCCGGCTGCGTCGAGGTAGTGGTGAGGATGGACGCGATGAAAGGGATTCACTTGAAATTGAGAGGAGAGAGAGGGAGAGGAAGTGGCGAGAAAGGGATTTGGAGATCGAGGGGAAAGTGGGGAGTGGGAGCAAGAAGCACGGGAGTGGCAGGGAGAGTAAAGGATTTTTCGATAGGTTGCAGCAGCAGCTTGGCGAACCTGAGGACGAGAAGGAGCGGGAAAGAAAAGAGAAAAAGGACAGAGAGAAGGACAAGGAGAAGAAGGACAAAGACGATTGGAAAGCCCAGTGGACGAGTATCTTCACGAGTGCGAAGGATAGGGAGAAGAGTAAGAAGAGGGACGCCAATGCTGACAACATTGAACCCTTTACCTCCTCTCAACACGGACGCCCGGAGATATCGAACCCGATTCCGCTTGTCCATCCCCCGCAACACTCCTCAGCACATTTAAATCCCAACCCGAACACGTACCCCGACCTGTACGCACAGTATCATACGTACCAAGCTCCCGGAGCTCCGGTTAACGTCCTTGCACCCGTCCTCAACAATGCGAACTCCAATTCCTCCGCAAATCCTCAACAGAATGCGAGTGCAAATCTTGCGAATCTGGGTAACAGTCAGCAGCAGCAAGACCCGTTAGTGCGGATGGTAGGCTTATTTGTGTCGCCCAGTCCCGAGGGCCTGGATTGGCCGCTCGCATTGGAGCTTTGTGAGCAGACGCGGGCTACTACACGGGAAAAGGAAAAAGAAAAGGAGAAGGAGAGAGGGTTTGGACTTGGCGGACTTGCGATTGCGATTGGGAGGGAGAGCCGAGAGGGGCGAGATGGGAAGGACCGAGATAGGGAACGAGAACGAGGGGAGGGTGGTGAGAGGGACGGGAGAGAGGGGAGAGAAGAGAAAGAGGGAAAGGAGAGGGACGTCAAGGAAGCGGAGGCAAATTCGAAGAGTATTGCGAAGGCTTTGAGGAAGGAGCTTAAGTGCGTATCTTTCGTTTTCACTTTCTCGCTCTTTCGTGCGCTCTGTTGTGTTTGGAGCTGGCGGGTCTCATGTGTGTTTTTTGCTAATTCTTTGTGGTTAGATATGCGAGGCCTTCTGAACAGCTCGGCGCTGTTACGGTGAGTTTTCTTGTTTATCTTTCCTTTACCGAGCAACGGATTTGAGAGCTGACGACAATTTGGAATTGTGTACAGTTATGGGCTGTGATGCTTTTGAATGCGTCCGATGTCTTCATTAGTCAGTGATTTTCTACTTTACATTATCCGTACAGATGTGAATTGATGATTGACATTACCCCTAGCCCAGACGAGTTCACGCAAGTTCCTCGACGTTGTCGAAGACCTTATCCTTCATTCCCGGTTTCCGATTATACGGGATCGGTTAATAGAGGTATTGGCTGCTGCCGCGTTTTTGGCAAAAGATAAGAGTGCGTATATATTTTGGTGCGTATCGGGAGTGATCACTGATGAAATATGTGCGCGTGTAGGTGGCAAAGACTCTGCAAAACGAGAGAACTTTAAGACGTTCTGGAAGAAGGTGAAGCCTGAAGGGTTTCCTGATGAGGTGCGTACGCTTTTTTCTCCATGTGGTTGCCTCACGAGTAATACTAAATTGCATTGATTCTTGACTGCTTTGGGTACGATTCAGGGAATGCCGTTGTCGATGGACAACCCTATGTTCCGCTCTGAGACGAATGCTTTACCTTCTGTCGTGGATTTGGAACGGCAGAGAGTAAGTCGACGTCGACATCACTATTCGTCTTCCCTTTCCCATTTCTTGTTGCTGATAATGTGTTTTGTGTTGCTATATAGTCGCGTCCACCTATGGGCGAACGACGGTCTTCTCGAAATGGCATCATACCCGTGGACGAGGATATCCGACGATTGTTCCAGGAGTGTAAGATCGGACGCGGGAATGCGCAGTTGTTGAATGAGGCGCTTGCGTTTGCGACGCCGGAGGATTTGAAGGAGAAGGAGATTATCAAGGTATCGTGTTTATTTTAATTTCCTTGCCTTTGAATATCGGTTGACTAATGCCTTTGCCACTGGCGATAAATTTGTTTGTTTGGTTGCAATTATAGGAATTCTACGCGAAATGCCGTGCCTCGCAAGAACTCATCCACACGCAGATTACCTGGGCATCGGCGAATGCGGAACGTTCGCGTATGCGGCGGCTCGAGACGCTCGGGCCTGATGGCCCGCAGAATGCGGATGAATTGCCACCCACGAGGGAGGAGAGGCTGCTTGGGGAGTTGCTCGTGGCGAATGAGGAGTTGGCGGAAGCGTTGAGGATTTATGGCGATATTGAGCGGATTGGAGTGGAGAGTGAGGCGGAAAGGAAGGCGAGGGAGAGGTCGAAGGTTGAGGTTAGGGCGCGTCCTGAGGTGAGGATCTGTCTTTTAGGAAAGATTGGCATGAAGCTAATGAATGTGGTCGATGAAATAGGATTATCAGGCTAGCGGAGAAGCGTCTGGTTACCTCGCTGCACCTGCGCCATCGATTGCACCATCGAGCTCGCGATCGCAATCCCCTTCAAGCTTCGTTATGAACTCGCAGACCTCACAGACATCTTTCCCACCTCCTTCCGCGTCAGAAATGGCGAAGCATACGGGCGAGTTCGCGCCGAATTCTGCAGCCGCGTTCCATCATTATCAGCAGCAGCAGCAGCAATATCAGAATCAACATCATCACCTTGCGCAGGTCCAGAGTCCACCGTATTCCGGCTCGGATAGTTCTCATAGTCAGAGTATGGGACATGGACATGGACAGACGCAGAGTCAAAGTCAGAGTCATAGCCCAAATCCAGCTACGAATGCAATCTCGAATTCTGGGCACGGTTACGGTGCCCAAGTTCAGACTCACGGACACCTTACACCTGCACCGAGTCGGTCGTTGTTGCATGGCCCGAGATCTCCAGCGAATTCGGCGGGTGGGGGTTACGGAGCTGGGTATGCGTATTCACCGTCTGGTGTGAACGCTGCCGCTTTCCCTGGTACCCCTGGTGTTACTACTGGTGGAGGTGGGGGAGTGGGAGGAGTGTATTCACGCACGTCGAGCCCTGTTCATGCACCCCTGTCGTCGGCAGTGTCTTCCCGCCCGAACTCGGTTGTGTACTCCAATTCGCGTGCGGCGAGTGTGGATACGAACTTTGAGAGAGAACAAGAAAGGCAGAGGGAGAGAGAAACGGATTTGTCGGACGTGACGGCTACGTACGATAATGTTGTGCATTCGTATGCGCATGGAGATGGGTCGGCTCCTACTTCGGCTCCTTTGACGTCGATGACTACTACCATGCGTATACCCGCTGCGGAATGGATCGATGCGCCTGATGGAGGTGTGAAGATGAGTGAGAAGGCTGCAGGGAAGAGGAGGATGGTTGATGACGTCCAAGAGTTCAACGATGGTATGTTCTGCTTCTTTCAAATTCATTATTCCTTTTCGTTTTACTTCCCTCACCACGAAATTTGCTTGTTCGTTTGTTGATTTGTTTGTTGCTTTCCGTCCATTCAGGGTACGCGCCAACTCAACCAAACGGAGACGCAGCAATATCTCACCTCGACGAATATGGTCCTTCCCCCGAAGGTGGTGGTGGATTCCAGAACACAGACCACTTTAATAATAATTACAACTATAACAATGGCGCCAACTACAACGAGGAAGAGAGAGGGGATGTATGGCTCGATGATCCGCTTGATGAAGGGGACGGGAAGGGGAGAGGGTTGGATAGGTGGAAGAGGAGGACGAGGTACGCGTATGATGCTGCAGCGGAGAGGACGAAGGAGAGAGAGAGGATGATGCGTGCTGGACTTGTTACAAGTGGGATGGGGTAGTGTAGAGACTCGGTTCATAATGTATAGTATGGGACGTGTATAGATGCACTTTCAGAGAGTCTGGAGAATTTTTGAGTAATGTATTAGTGTATAGGAGCAGAGGAGTTGTGTTGCATTTCTTTTCTTTATACACATGCATGTTTGTTTTAGTAGATCAGATTGACTAGGATCAAGTCTGTTAAGGATTTTTATTCTTTACAGCTGTTTACAAAAGTATTACAAAAATGGCAAATTATGTAATTTTTTAATGTGTCAAGTTAGCTCAAAAGGAAAAATTCATTTATAGCTGTTTGCAAAAAAGTTGGCAAAGATGTGTTTTGTAACATTTTGTCACACTAAGTACATCAAAATACAAAACTCACTATAGCTCAACTAATACTCAGCCAATTTGTATAATTTAAGTTTTGTATTAACTGTTATAGGCTTGCTCAGAATTGTAATAAAACTGATAGAGTAAAGTAAAGTACTTTTAGAAGGAATTCTAAATAACAAACTCTTTTGTTAAGTTTAAACATTTAAAATGTGGTTTTTAGAACAGTACTAGTAGAGTACTAAACACTAAGCTCAAAGACTGAAAGTTACACAAAGACTGATAGGACAAAGGTATCTTTGTTACAGTTAGTAAACAAGAACTGGGAGTACATAATAAGATACACCTTTGTTATAGTTAGTAAACAAGAACTAGTATAACAAAGGTGTAAACATAAGCTTTATATACTAGAGAAGAAGAAAAGTAGCTTAAACTAAAGGAATGTATAATACAAGTGAAAAAGGAAACTATATGTGTGGCTCAGGATCAAAACTAAGAATAAGTAGCTTAAAACTAGGAACTGTATACATAGTCTAAGACTGTGTAAGAGAGTTCTGGAACAGAACTCTCAGAACCCTTAGAACTGTAGTAAGTTATATAGTAGACTTACACCCTTCCCTCCTCTAAACTACTACTACTTGTTAGGATTGTAGGATTGGACCTATTTCATTTTCTTTATATCTCTGTCAGTTTTGTAAAATACTAACATTAGTACTAGTTTTTCATAATCCTTAACATTTCATCTATTGTTCTACAAAGTTTTATAGAGATCAGTTTAGTATTAAGTACAGGAGAGAGCTATAGAGACATGAGACAGTGTACACAATTATAACACAGTTAATCCATTTCTTACCAAATATAGTAACTTGTACCTTTCTTGTACAATAGTCTCTTAGCTTATATTCTTTAATGTGTAATACTCTGTTAATTCTTCCTAGTCTCTAATGTGTCTGTTAGTTTTATAATATTTGTCTTTATTATTTCTTTTATCTTATTCTCAAGTTTCATTCCTTACTTTACTCTTATTATTTAGTTATTATAAAAAGTAGTCTATAAATACAGTAGTTTCTTAGTTTTTTTAACTCTTCTTGTACTCCTACTTGTTCTCTTAGTATAAATCCTAGCTGGTAGCTTTAGGAATATAGTTAGATTAAGGGCTGTAAGTCTACATTTGTAGTTTGAGAGTGTTATTAACTTAGAGAACACATCTCTCCTAATATAAGAGTTAAAAAAACTTATCTCTACCTTAATACTACTCTTAGTCCAAGCTACTACTCAATCAATATCCTCCTAGTCTAAACTACTACTCAACTATCCTTCTCTATCTAATCCTACTCTCTTTTGAGTCTGAACTACTGTTTGATTTGTTTTACACATAGTTAGAGCTACTACTCAACTTTCTCTAACTTAAGCTATAACTTAGTCACTCCTCCTACTTTAATCTGCCCAATCTGAGCTACTACTCAATTAGTTTGCTTAAGTTAAGCTACTACTTGTTTGAGTATTCCTTACTCCCTTTATAAACATACCTTTTACTTTCTTAAAAAGAACTATTAAACTAATTTACTATTCTATTAATTTCATATTGTCCCTTACTTTATTTGTGACTTCATTTTCTATTATTTTTATACTCTACTCTTAAGGTCAAATTACTATCATTCTTTACTCTCTTTCACTTTTTCAAGTTTGTGTATTGTTTTTACAATTTACATAGTTACACTCTTTTTTAAACACTTTTAACTTACTACTTGTAAAGCTTAATCTCTAGCCTTTGTTTACTAGTTGATTAGAGTCTCTCTCAAGTAGTAACACTTTTAGAGACCTTACAGTTTAAAAGTCTAGTATTGTCTTACAGTTATTTAGTGTTATTAGATAAGAGTTACTAGATTGTACTTAGAACAGAGTATATATAAGTAGTTTAAGAGTTTAAAACTAAAAGATTAAAGTTGCCTAGGTAGTAAACTAGTTAAAGGAACTGTTTCTAGAACTTAAACATTGTTTATAGTCATTTATACTAGCCTCTAATAAAGACTCAGATGTTTTAGAGCTTACTCAAGTATTTGAAAGAGTATTTAGTGTTTTAGAAGTTAATTTATTAGAGCTAGCCTTAGAAACAATGTTAAATCCTTTAAGAAACTCTCTTACACTCTCTTATAAGTCTGTACAACCTTAGTAAAGTGTATATATGTACTTAAACATAGATTTAGTCTCCTAATTAATTACAAAAGTTACTAGTCAAACTGTTACTATAGTAATACAGTATACTTCTGTTAGAAACTTGAGAAAGATTACTATTACTCTTAGAGAGTACAAAGGAGGTAAGAATTATTAGAACTTTAAAAGGGAATGTTTACTATATATTTTAACTAATAAAAGAGTCTTCTACAATAGTAAAAAGAAGATACTCTTTGTACTTTCTTATTTAAAGGAAGAGACAGTTACTGTATAAGTAGAAAATTGAATTACTTAAAACACAGACATTGAGAGCAAAATCCTTTATATATAAACATTTTAAGAGTTTATAGAGTAACTAGAGAAGTTATTTAATAACTCTAGTAAGAAAGAAACTACTATTTAGAAGCTTAAACAACTTAAGTAAGGAAATTACTCTGTAAATGTATTTTTCTAACAGTTTAAGATTCTAAAGACTAAAGTTAGACTGAGTAGTAAAGTATATAACTCTATATTAATTAATTTACTTTAGTATACTTTTAATCCTAAAGTACTTTGTTAGTTAATACACATATTACTAATCTTAGATACTTATAATAAATGGAAAAAGTATACTATTCAGATTAACAATAATGAAACTTAACTCAGGGAGACTCTTACTTGTAAGAGACTCTCTAGTAGTTAGTCTAATAATTGTTTATACTTTAATCTTCCTAACAAGACTCACAACTCTTCTTAATCTAATTCTTCTGTGTATTTTAAAGCTCTAAATGTGTAAACAAATCTTTAATCAATCTTACATTCTTTTAGATTAACTCCTAATAGAAAAACATTCTTAGGAGCTAGAGAACTAATAAACATCTTAATTAACAATATAAAGAAGAATTAAGCTTGTTACATTTGTAGAAAGATTGGTCACTTTGTTAGAGTTTGTCCTTCTTAGTATTAAAGAGTTAGAATGATTCTCAGAACTATAAGACTTAGAGAGAGGTTTACTTTTATAAAGGTAATACAGGAATTAAAGGAAGGGGACTTTATAAATAAAGAATCAGAAGAGGAACAGATTAAAGAAGAGGAGTCTTTTGTTAATTCTTAAATATAAACACTATATTATTTAAGAAAGAGTTAGAACAAAGTTATTATTATGTAAATAATTAATACTAAACATTTGAATCAAATATAAATAATTATTGTTTGTACTATAATGCTCTAGACAGTAAAGACTCTTATTTTTTTAATAAACTTATTAATTCTAAAGTCTGTAAAGAGGTAGAAAGTGTAGGAAAGTTTTTAAATATTCTTTATAGACTTGTAAACTTAGTTTCTTCTAAAGAAGCTTTATATATTTACTCTAACACTAGAAGGTAATTAAATATGTTCTTAACAATTAAAACAAATTAAGAACTCATTAATATATATACTTTAATTAATTTAGAGTGTACTAGATTATACATAAATATAGGTTTTATTAAGAATAATAAGTTAAAAACATATTCTTTTAAGAATCCCTTTCTAGTCTTTAACACTAATAGTACAAGTAATAATAAAGGTTTTTTAAAGAACTATATTAAAGTAAAACTCTCTATTAAAGTATATACAGAGACAATTTGTTTAATAGTCACTATATTAGTATTTAGTAATATCTTTTTAAAATATAATTAGTTAAACAAACATAATTTAGAGATTAATTAGGAATAAGGTATTATGTTCTTTACTAAATGTTTAGACAGTTGTTCTATGTTTTTAAACAAACTAGAGACTTATTTAAATATTCTAAAGTACTTAAGAAGAACTAATAATAATTCTACCCTAGTTTTTACAATTCCTTATTATTTTAAAGTATATAAGAATGTATTTAGTAAAGAATCCTTTGAGTAATTACTAGAGTATTAATCTTAGAACTATACTATTAATTTAAAGCTAGATTTTAAGGTTACAGATTGTAAAGTATATTCTCTAACTTCTAAAAAATAAAATACACTCAAGGATTTTATTTCTGAGAACCTGGCTTTAGAAAGGATTTAATATTCAAAGTCCTTTATAATATTACCCTTCTTCTTTATTAAGAAGGAGGATGAATCTTTAAATCTTATCTAAGATTATAAAAAGCTTAATAAAGGTACTATTAAGAATAAGTACTCTCTACCTTTAATTTAAGAGCTTTTAAACAAGGTTAAGAATTCTAAGTACTTTACAAAGCTTAATGTATGCTAGAAATACTATAATATTTGAATTAGAGAGAGTAATAAGTAGAAAGTAGCTTTTAGAACAAATTTAGAATTGTTTAAGTCTATAGTTATGTTCTTTAATCTTACAAATACTTCTACTACATTCTAAGACTTTGTAAACAATATTTTTAGTAAATTAATTAATAAGGAATTAGTTGTTGTCTATCTAAACAATATCCTCATCTATTCTAAAAATATTAAAAAGTATAAATACTTAGTTTAAAGAGTTTTTACAATCTTACAAGAGAATCACTTATTTCTTAAGTTTTAGAAGTATGAATTTGAGAAATCTACTACTAAGTATTTTAGACACATTATTAGGAATAATAAGATTTGAATGTACCTAAAA